TTTCCTAAAAGATGGAAAATTGAATCCATCACCAAATTCGTTATTCCGCCATGATTTCTAAGTTACAAAAGGTGGCGGTTTATCGAGAATTAACTGTAGATTGATATATTAATATGGCCTATTAGTTTAAAATATATTTTATTCATAGAAATGGATTGAAAAGCAGGCATAAATGCCTATGATTGTTCTCTCCATAGGTCACGGTACAATTACAAGTACATGTAAACATTGAAAAAAATGTATGAGAGTAGATTATCAATTGGTACATATTTAGAATTAATTCAAAGAGAGAGAGAGAGAGAGAGAGAGAGAGAGAGAGAGAGAGTAAAACAAATGAATAGACAGAAATAAATGAATAGGAAAAATAATTATATAATAAAATATAAACAACAAAGAAAAAAAGAAGGAAAAAAAAGAAATAAAATATAATAATTAAAAAAAACATATGTTTGAGCAATTGTTGTTGACCCAGAGTAGGAAGAATTCCCCAACAAAGCAGTTTACCTAAAATAATATATTTCCCATAGAATATCTTAATAAACTAAAATTTCAATGAAAACTTCTTAGAGTTTCTTATAAAGGTATGTACATGACCAAAAAATGAAAAAAAATTATCCAGACTTAGTGAGTCTACACCATATAATGTGTTTTCTATATTAATTGGTATGTTATTGTCGTTGTAACAATACAAGAAAAAATGCATTGGGTTCTATTAGACCCCCGTTAAGAGATTGAGAAATCAGACACCTGACGTGGGAATTGGCCTTATTTCAAAATTATCAATGGACGTATTGCAAGTTAGTGTGATACTGTTTTCTTACTTAAAGTCAGTAAGGTATATTTATACCAGTAAATTTGTATAAAAAGTGTAAAAATAGAACATACATAGCATTGGAATTGAAAATTCACTTTATTTTATACTATGGGAAATATCTTTTTTCTGTGATTTTATTTCAATTCTAAATATCAACAATTATTGTAACCACTATTAAAATAGTGACCACTATTGAAATAATTATATCAACAGTGGTTGACAGAGTATTTCAATAACAAACATAGGCTGCAACCCCTATTGAAATATGACCACTATTGAAATATTTTTTTCAATAGTGGTTGCCACCTGAAATCTACTCTCACTGTCACTGACACTTATCAAAATAAGTATCTCAATAGCAGTCGTATTTCAGTAGTGGTTACAACCAATGTTAGTTATTGAAACATACTCTCAACCTCTTTTGAAATAATTATTTCAATAGTGGTTGCAAAAAGGATATGTAGATAAAGAAAAGTATTCAATTTCACAAAAAATAAAAATAGTGACATTCTCCTACCATAGCAGGTAAAGTTTGTTTTCTGCCACTCAGAAAGTGAGCAGTTTATTGAGCTGGTTCCAGATTTCGGAAGAAATCCCTGACGACAGGAGTATAGAGCAACATTATTGGAGACCATGACGTCAGCATTAGCAATGGTTGGTGGATCAGGGCAAGATTCTGTGTAGAATACATAATGTAGTGAATTTACTTTAACTTGTTAATATTTATAAATATATGTACAATATATTATTAATATATGTACAATGTAAATGCTCTAAGAATATTATTTGGTGCATACCATCAATACAATCTTCTCTAAAAGATACACTAAACAAATGGGAACATAAAAATATTATTCACTAAATACAAGTTAAGGCTCTGTTTTTACATGTACAACATTTATAAAGATCTTGATGCTTACTTATACATTTAAAGTCAGTGGACGGCCAGATACTGTTTCTGCATTCAATAACGTCAACTGTATTTTTCATTGTGAAATATCCCGTTAAGCAGAAATATTTTGCTCTATTGTCCTGCACAAGAGCTGCTGCATTTTCAACAGCGGGAGGTGATGGACAAACAACTTAAAATAAAAAAAACACAAAGACATCAGAATTACTTTTTTTTAAATCCTGAAATAGATTGTTTATCAATTGAAATGTCTTTGAATCACTACATTTTTGGATATCAAATCAAAGATATACCTTTACAGAACATTGCTGACTTAGACCATGTGCCCTCTATACACTTAATTATGACGTCATCAGAACTTTCAGTGAACCCAGTCTTACAAGCGTACAGTGCTTTGCTACCATTAGTTACTCCATCATATAGTCTATATGCATTGGCAATGTCAAGAGGGATTGGACAATCTAAAGTGAAGCATTAATTACCATATTTTAAATTAAATCCTTGGGAAGATGAAGTCAAAGTATATTAAAGACGACGAAATTTGAGCAAAATGAAAAATTGAATATGGTTGAAAGTTGTCTATATAATTTGTTCCTATATTGTAATGGTCAACCGACAGGGTTGATTGAAAAATAGAAGAATTGAATAAAAAATCTTCCTTGTCAAGTATTGCAAAAGATTGGCAATTATATATATGCTTACAATATTGTGGAGAAGAATTATACCTGTAGATACGCATCTTGTCTGTGACCAATCAGGCGAGCATAGTTCCGTATTACTGCAAGGCGTGCCTACATAGAATGAGTTTATATCATTTGACAACTACAGGCAATTCTTCTTATAAGTTTCTTTTACATCTCTATGTAGACCTCAATATCCATTAACATGCATTTTACACTTGATTGACAGGAAAACAAATTTAATGTCTATTGCATATTCTTTTTTCTGCAGAAGGTGGGGAGTAGTTCACATGAAAAAAGTTTCAGGATTAATTTTGTTTATTTTTAAAATAATCAAACATTTAATACCTGTTATGTCAATAACTTTAACGAGGACTTCTACAACGTCACTTTCTTGATAACTTTGCCCGTAACCCCACTTTCCACCCACGTAAACCAAATGTCCATTTGTATTTGTCGGGGATGGTCTCCAGAGCAGAACTTCTGTCTCATTGTATCCGTATATTATAGCTCCATATGTGTCATTAGAGGTATCAATCATGGCGCTACTGCCAGCATGAAACATGAATCCCTCGTTGTTTGGGGATAATACTTTCATCTGATAGAATTATAAGAATTAAGGAAAAATTAATTCTAATTGTGCCCCTCGTATATAAATTACCTTCACTGACCATTTCAACTCATGAGGTTTATTAAGATAAGATACATATTCCCAGTTGCGATTTTAGAATCAAAATTATTTGATCATTTGCTTGATAATAAAAAAAATACATGTACTATTATTCCATTAGAAACTCCAAAATTCCTTTCATTTTGATGATAAAATACAAGATAGATCTTTTTTATTTATAGAAAAAACTCAATATATTGAGGAAAGGGCTTTACTACGCCACTAAAACCTTTGTAAAATATCAAAACTAGCTTAAACAATGAACACATGTATGACCTACCAGAACAGAAACCAATGTTGAATCTAGATTATACACCGAACCCAGGTTCACTCGCCCAACAGTGTTTGTGTCGTTCTTATCCAGTGTGAATTGTGTTGAAAAATGTTTATTACAGGAGTCCAGTATCCAGGCCTGGATATACAGACTAGCAGCGTCACCTCTAAAGCTTTCTCGTCCCCATCCATCTTCTGCACAAGCCACATAATCTGGAGAATGTAAAATCTACACAACCCCAGAATGCTTCTTTTATAAGTTTCAGCTTTTCAAGGCCAGTGGTTCTCAATGAGGATATGAGATTTTTCCTATATTTTCAATGTAAACTTGGATTTCCTATTGTCACCCCTTGCTATCCCGGGGGTCATTATTTGAACAATGTGGAATCTACATTACCCCAGTAACATAAGTATCGTCATTTCTGGTCAAGAAGCTCTTTCAAAGATATTTTTCTATACATTTCAATGTTAAAATTGGATTTCTTATTTTTACCCCGCTCTACCCCCTGGGGTTACTATTTGAACAATTGAAGAATCTACGGTACCGCCCAGACCCAACATGACACCCAGGCAGTCCCAGAGAACAGTCCACGGGACTGCTTTGGGACTGCTGTGAGACTGCTCTGGGGCCTATATGGGACTGCACTAGAAAGCAATCTTTTAAAGGTGCATGGACATAGATTTGAAGTTAATATTTTCTATATACTATTACGACTTATATATTTTATTAGCACTTCACACAAAAATTAATTAAAAATCATACTTTATTTAAAAGTTATAAAAGGGGCCTGGACACAGTGTCAACTGATTTTTTAAAACCTAGCGCACCATATATTGATTATCAAAAATTTGAAGATCATTTGTCGATTAACAAACAAGATACAAAACTTAAAGTTCTTCACAATGTTAACAAGGCTCGTGCCTTGTTTTTGTTTACATATAAAAATATCATATTTATAACAAACTGAAGTTCAGCAAATCAATAGTACTGTCGAATCGTATTTGAAATTAACTTTTATTTGAAATAATCTACTTTAAACGAACATATATTAGTATATTAACCTGTGTAAACAAAACATGACACTAGCCTTTTTTACGTGACAAATTAAAGGTTTAGAGCTCTAAATCTGTCTTGTATCTGGAAAACTGGCGTTCAAATATTGATGATTATTAGAAAGACCCTAGTTTGTATTACTATTATTATTATAATATTTCTTATTATTTGTACATGTAATAAAGGAAAAAATAAATTTTGAAATTTTAGCTGAAACTGTGTCCAGGCCCTTTTAAAACTTCAAATTGTTTGGCGGGTTTGATTGACATATCCTTGCACTTTCACAAATTTTAACCTCATTCTTAATACTTAGGAAAAGTGGCAATTTTGTTGTGTATTTATGCGAAATATTACAACTTTAAGGTAAGGTTTGCGACTCCCTCCAATTCATATTTCTTTTTTGAATCTGCACACATGCTATGTATCAATTTATTCAGGGAGATTAGCTTCATCATTAAATATAATTTTCAACGATATTGCCCGTCCCATTTTTTAAATAAAAGACGCCAAATTTAACGTATTTCATATTTCATCTCGAATATTATTTCTATTGAAAAAAAAAAGATTTATTTTATAAATTATCAAACTTAAATTATTAAAGACCTGAATAAGTATAATTCATGCTTATATTATTTAAATTTTTAATTTTCCATTTTCAAAAATGTAAAAATTTGGGAAAAAAAGAAAGATTTTTCAATTTTACTTGAAAAAGTAAGTAAAACCGTTGCCATGGCAACAAAAAAAAAATAAAAATCAACATTTTTCATATCTACCGATTTCATCAAAATCCATAAAGTTATCAATTTGATCATTTTCATTAAATTGAACTAAAATATATGTACAGTGTATGCCCATATATTATATCCATGGAAACAGGGGCAATATTATGGGTTCGGAACATAAAAATCAGGCTTTTTCTACACTTTGAAAGACAACATTGATATCACTATGTCATGATATACTCATCAGACTAAATGCTATTTATGATATTGTTTTTATGCATAAATTGGCAATAGATATTCAAAATAACACATCTTCTGTGCTACATGATGGTATAAGAATGTATTGCATGGAAAAACTTTAGCATTTATGACAATCTTTACATCTGAATATTCTGATGAAATTGTCCATGAATTATACTGCAACACCTATATACATGTATATAAACATACTTCAGAACATGTTGCAACTAAACCAATTAAAAGCCTATGAATTTGACCTCATGCTGATTTAGTGAAATAGTCATTTCAACATGTATTTATTTCTAGACATCTTTGTAGCAAAATGTCTGTATTCAGTTATGGCTGGTGACTTTGTCATTATACATGTATGCCATTCTTTGAGTGCAATGTTGTAAGCATTGCATCCAAGAAGCTGCTGTTTTTATTATTAAAAGATTTATTTTTTACTTCAAAAAGTAGAAATGCTATCTTTAAAGTAATGTTTGTTTGCTCTCTCTTGACTCAGGGTAAAATTATTGGGTCAGTAGGTGAGAAAATCTTCAACACATTTTTTAAGGGGAGAAGAGGAATAAAAAAAATTACGATCCTGCATTGAAAAAAAAAGTTTTGAGTCTGGCCATTTTAGTCAGTCGGTCGGGAGAGGCCGGCAACCAAACATTTTTTTAAAGATGGCCTAACCTATTTCTACCCTTCATGGACATTAGATCAATCATTGGATTAAGGTAATCTGAGAATCTAAATTGAAATTTCTGAAAGTAAAACAAAAAAAAAGACGAATTCTAAGTGACATCAATTCATACTTTAATGAGTTTACAGAGTACTATTGATTTCATAGAAAAGGCATATTCTGCAAAATGACATAACACTGTCATAAATATTTGTCAAGAATAGGAAAAAGAAACAATGCTACAGTGAAAGAAATATCACCTTGATTTCCATGAAATGATAATTTAAATAAGACAAAATTTTTCTACTTTATAATATTAAAGTAAAGAAGAAAATTAAAAGATTATAAATGTAAACAATTTTAAAATACACTACATGTATTTTTGAAAGATTTTAATTCTAGTAGAGTACCAAACTGGTCTTATGATTCCTATTAAATAAACAACCTTACAACTTCCAAATGTCATGTTTTAAACTGTTACAGTAGATATAATTATACATGTACACTGTAACTTTTTGTACGAAACACATCAGTTTTCAGAAATACTAATTTGAGCATATTAAGTCTTGGTGAGAACAAAATTCAGTGAAGAAAAATATTTATCTTAATTGTTCATGTATTAATTTCCTTGCAATTTTAAAAACCCTTTTAAGAAACTTGTTAAGTATAAACAAAAGCAACCTTCAATTAATACCTATGATGTATATATTCATTTTACTGAATACAATTCAAAGATGGACAAACAGAGCATGTACTGCATTCATCACAGGCTCCTTTTTTCAAAATGCATGGAAAACAGCATGTAGATACTAGATAGTGGAACCTCTGGGACCGATTAAGGGCAGCTCTGGGACTGCTGTGGGACTGCCAAAGCAGTCTTAGAAAGCAAATCCCTGGGTTTGCTCTGGGACTGCCCTGTGTCAGGTTGATTATGGTCGGTACTGTACATTACCCAGCGATACATCTACAGAAGTTACAGTTTTTCTGGTCCAGTTGTTCATAAGAAGAAGATTTTTAATTTTCTTCTATATTTCAATATTAAACATGGATTCCTTTTTGTGACCCTGCCCTACCCCCCCCAAGGGTCATGGTTTGAACAATTTAGAATTAACACTACAATGATGTTTCCATATAAGTTTCAGCTTTTCTGGCTATTGGTTCTTGAAAAGAAGAATTTAAAGAATTTTTTACCCTTAAATATTGCAATATGAAAATTAGATTCCCTATTTGGCCCCGCCCTTTACCCGGGGGTCATGATTTTGATAATGTAGAATTTACACTACCTCAGGATCTTGTACTAAGTTTGATAAATATTGGCCCAGTGGTTCTTGAAAAGTTGTTGAAACTTTGAAAACATCATGGACGGACGGACAGCTAGACAGACGGACGGACAACAGATGATCAGAAAAGTCCACTTGAGCTTTCATCTCAGGTGAGCTTAAAAAGTCGGAGCAAGAAACAAACTTAAAAAAAATTAAAATACATTTAATTATATGATCAACAAGTTTTTATTTTTTTTTAATTTAATCTAATAATTATTGTGATAGAGCTATTATTATGCTCACATATAAACCTTACCGGACATAGACCAAAGACGTATTTCTTGGTCATTAAATGCAGAAACAGTCCCGCAGATAGTGTCGTATTTACCATGGATTTGTGAATTAAATGTCACACCTACAATAAAATGCCATAACCATTCTTAAATGAATCGTCTTGGTTCTATAAATTGTAAAATGCAAAAAAAATGCAAACTAAGAAAAATTAGGCGTGGAATTATTTCATACGTGTGAGTTCAAAGGTCGTGGTTAAACAACATTTTGTTGGGTCTTTGAAATTTAAAAAAAATGCATGTAAGTTCATGCATATACAAAGTTTTTTTTTGTTCTAAGTTAATAAATATGTATACAAAATAGTTGTTCATGGGGGATGTAAAATTGTCGTTTAACGTGGACCACGAAATCGACGATAA